TGACTAAGGGACTTGCTGAAGCAAAAAAGGACATTGAAAAAGTGACAATGGAGAATGAAGAATTAGAGAAAAAGTTGACGAAACTTAAAAGTGAAATGAAGAATATCATGAAGTGGAAAAAGATTTTGAATTTTATATTTATGATGATTATCATTGTATTAGTTGTTAGAATTAGTTAGGGTATTAAGGTTTGTTTGGAAGTAGTATGTTATGGTTTGACAAGCATGAAATCTGGTTGTTCGTCCTCCATGTTGAAACAAGAAAGTTGAGATTCAGATGTTTGTAGTAGGTCACGATGGAAGCCCATATGCCATTGTGGAGACATGGTTGTTCTTCAAAGGGCAACTACTGTTAAGAATATGGGAAAAGTTTTCTGGGGTTGTCCAAATTATAAGGTATGCAAGCTTTTTAAATTCTGTTAATAAGTTCTGTTTCTGTTTACGTTTAAATTCATTCTCCATCATCCTCTAAACAATGAAACTTACAGGGAGGTATGCAAGTTGGTTGTGGTTTCTTTGGTTGGTTTTATGAGGAGGTGGGTGATGAGAAGGAGCAATTCTAGGTGCATAGGCTAGGCGTGGTGACTAAGGGACTTGCTGAAGCAAAAAAGGACATTGAAAAAGTGACAATGGAGAATGAAGAATTAGAGAAAAAGTTGACGAAACTTGAAAGTGAAATGAAGAATATCATGAAGTGGAAAAAGATTTTGAATTTTATGTTTGTGATGATTATCATTGTATTAGTTGTTAGAATTAGTTAGGGTATTAAGGTTTGTTTGGAAGTAGTATGTTATGGTTTGTTTGTAAGAATTAAGTTAACTTTTGGTTGTAAGAATTAGGTTTAAGTTCAGTTAAAGTTTGTATCAATTTTGGATTGTATCAGTTCAACCTGAATGTAATAGTTGGATTCTAATAGTTGGATTCTAATCCTGTAGTGGATTTTAATTTTACTTTTTGCAGTTCAACATGAATGTATCAGTTTTAGTTTTGGATTGTATCAGTTCCACATGAATATAATAGTTAAAGATTATGTTAACTTGGTCTGCATTGTTAAATATCCTGTCAAAATGTTTTTAACTTGGTCTGCATTGTTAAAGATTATGTTATTTGTTCTGTTGAAGATTAGCTTGATTTTAACACACAATAATATATTTGGTATATTCTGTATTTATGTTTACCTGGTCTGTTATAGACCTGTCAAAGTTGGTCCGCATTTTTTTGGGCTGCATTTTTTACACCATATTATGACAGGTCCATAAACATTATGACCTATAAATTGGTTCTACTTTTAACATAAAGTTCATAACAGGTCCATAAATAGGTTATGCTTTTAACACAACTGATACATTTCACAACAGGTCCATTTTATAATACAAACTGATACACATGTTCCACAAAATACATAGTCATTCCACACATGTTTCAAACAACATCATGATATATAAACTTACAATAGACATGTTCCGAACAAAAAAAAAACATAAACTAATTATACAACAAAATACATAATTTGATTCCACATGACATGATAGCCTAATTATATCTAGAGTTTCTTCTTTGGCGTGGTCCTCTTTGTTGGAGTAGACCTCCTTGTTACTGAGCCAAAAACATTCTTGGCAGCACTCAACCTAGTTGTTGGCCCAGGTGGTACAAAAGGTCTTGTTGGCTTCCTAACAAGTAGCTTTTGTGTCTTGCCCTTAGCAGGTCCATGTGTCTTCTGAGCAGCCTTTCCCTTAGAAGTCTGAGATGTTTGGCTAGATTGTTGAGTAGAAGTTCCCTTAGCAGTGTGTGTTGCTTTGTTCTGAGAGGGTTGAGTAGGCTAAGTTGTTGGAGTAGATGTGTGTTGGGCTGATTGTTGAGCAGTCTGAGTTAGAGTATGAGAGGGTTGAGTTGATTGTTGAGTAGTCTGAGTTGTTGTGTCCTTACATGTAGACTTGTAGTGTCCTGCTTTCTTACACCTACTACACTTCACCATAAAACATGTTCTTCTCAATTTGCTATCAGACCCATCAATTTCACCTTGTTCTAGGTTCCTCCTCTTTTTAGGTCTACCAAGCATCTTCCTGAACTTGGGTGGTTGCACATCTAGATATGATGTCTTAACCCACAAGTTTGATCCATTGACAGGGTAGATCACATGCTTATAAACTGCCTTGTATCTTAGAACCCTTTAATAATCTGGAAAGTAAGTATCAATTTTGAAATTCCTACTCTTCATAGCGGACAAAGCATGAACACATGGGAGTCCTGTGCGTTCTCATCTTCTGCATGAACATATATGATCTTTCAGGTTCACAACAAATTTGTCAGCTTGATTTTCCAAGTGCCTTACTTAAAATATATGTTCATCAGACATCCTAAATAATTAAACAAACAAAATATATTAGTCACATGTGTGTTATAGATACCTTAAGGAATTAATGTATGCTGATATTACATACCTTACTAGCCAGCTGTTGGTGTATGTGCTTGTGACATCAAGTTTCTTTCTAATATTGGGCAATATATCATTCTCATCCAAAGTACCAAATCTCATTTTTTTTATTTTCCCATCTCTCCATCATGTATATTCTAATGTCTTCCAACATAGTGATTAGAGGTTTTTCCCTTGCATCAAGAGTGACACTATTAAAGGATTCAGACATGTTATTGAGAACAACATCACATTTATTTTCCGTCCTAAAGTAAGATCTACTCCAAAACCTTGGTGGGGTCTTCATCATTTTAAATGCTTCTTCATTGATGGCCCTCATTCCCTTCATCTCTCTTTCCCATGCCTGTGGGCATGTTGACTTAGCATCCTTCCATATTGTGTCCTTTAACATCTTTCCAAGAAACTTTTTCCTAAAATTGTTATAGAGGTGCCTAACACAAAACCTGTGCTCCACCCTTGGAAATAACTCATCCATAGTAGGTAGCAGACCTTGCAATAACATAACATACAATATAGCATAACAATATAGCATAACATACAGTATAACATAACATGAATAGCATAACATAAACACATAAAACCATAAGAATAAATGAAAAAATTTCCTTTTATTGGCCTGGGATGAAGGTGTAAGTCAGGCATTCATCTTTGCCTTCAAGGTCATCAATTAACAGCTCTAAAAACCAAGTTCATCTATCCTTGTTTTCACTCTCCACAACTGCATATGCTATGGGATGCATCTGGTCATTAGGATCCCTCCCAATGGCAGCCAAAATCTTCCCTTCACATTACCCCTTCAGAAAACACCCATCTAGACCTACTACATGCCTGCACAACTTAAAGCTTTCCTTACACGTAGCATAACATATGTAAAGCCTTCTAAAATATGGTCTTTCATCCTTAACACCTTCTTGTATAAGCTCAACATTGAGCTTAAATGGTGACCCTGGATTGGCTCTTAACAGTTCATGACAGTAGTCATAGACCCTTGTGTAATCTCCCAAAAAAGAACCATCAACATAATCTCTAGCTGCAAATCTTGCTCTTATAGCTTTGGTTTTGTTGACCCCAACATTCCAGTTTTTGTGTGCCTTTTCCTTGATATCCTTTATACTCAACCTTGGATTGTTTTTCAAGCTATTCTGAATTCTTTTACTCAACCACTTTGTACTCATCAGCTTCACATTATACTCTCTACTACAACTGTGTTTGTCAATTATTTTCCTGAGTTTCCAAGTGTCTTCATTTGACAACTTGCTACAATAAGCCTCCCACTCACAACCAACTTTATATCTAACCCTTACCCTAACTTTGTCATTTTTTACAAACCTTAGGTCTCTGCCATTTTGCACAACATAAGTTATTATTGCTTCCCTAAAATCAACCTTTGAACTAAAGTACATTCCCACATCCCACTTGTAATCTGACATGTCTTTTGGATTTTTGAAAATTGGATGCTTTTTTCTTAGAACACCACTACTATCATCATTGTCACAACCACTTTGCACGTCCTCACAGTCATTGTCACTCCCTTTATCTTCTAAAGACTTATCATTAAGTTCTTGGACTTCTCCATTACCATCATTTTCATGACCAATTAGGGTATCAAGTTCATCCTCCTCAATCTCATCACACCCATCAGACTCATCCTCAAAAGCCACATCTTGTGCACTATCATA